CCATATCTATATTTATATCTATGGGTAGCTAGAGATAACCACTGTCCAGGTTCTTTCTGCATCTAGCTGCAAATCTGCAAAATCCTTAACTTGGATTCCAGCAAAACTCTTGAGGGACACTTCAACTGTAGAAAGTACCTTCAGGACAGACCTCAATGTTATTTTTTATTTTTATTTTTATTATTTTTTTCAATTTAAGGAGCAGCATCCTTAATATAGTTTGGCAAAAGTGGAGTTTTGCCAGCTGTTATCTGTTGATAGGGCTGAGGGGGGATCTCAGCCAGTTTATATATATAGATAGATAGATAGATATATAAATAGATATAAATATAAATAGTTTGCAGATTAGAAATCAATAGCCATGTTTAAAAGATTCACTCACTGCAGTTCATATTTTGGGCGGGTGGTTAGTTTTTGGACCAGTGGGCTGTTTTGATGAGCTGGTGAGAATATCTACTGTAGCATTTTGATTTCAGAGGGTGGAGATGGAAGACAAACTCGGTTTTCTGTAGCATTGAATCTTTCAAAGCCCAGGGATCTACTTCACCCTCTCTTTCTGCTTTGTCCCAGAGGGAGAAAAAAAAATCTGGGCCAAAACTTCACCCTAGTTTTCTTTGTTCTGTGTGGGTGACCGTATATTTAAACAAACCAGATTTCACTTCGGGAAGAAATGTGGTTGGGAATGGCTAGGAAAGGAACAATTTGGCTTTGTTACGTAGGACAGAGCAGGAACGGGGGGCAATGGTGGAATTCAAAATATTGTACTACCGGTTCTGTGGGCGTGCACTTCCTTTTAACAACCAACTATTCTCTCTTGGACAATTTAGCAATTATCCCTAGCTTTCTGTGACCGGGCTGGTTTTGTTAACTTTCAAATCAGGAGAGGGGAAAAATGCGTTGAAAGATGTGATTTATTGACCTTTCTCTTGTTAAGGGTTGTGCTTTGTTTTGTCCACAGGTGTGCCTCTCTTTGTGTGCCTATCACACTTTTCCCCCCTCTGCGGTGCAAAACCACCGTGGCAATTGATCCGCGAAGAATCGCGTCCTAACTTATTTTTATTTATATATATTTTTGTTGAGTTTTGCATGCATTTTGTTAATGTACACACAGGCTCCCTATAGACCGTATTTCCCCAAGCGTAAGACCAGGTCTTATATTAATTTTTTTGCTCCAAAATACACATTAGGGCTTATTTTCCAGCTAGGTCTTATTTTTGGGGAAATATGGCATTAAATGCATCCGTTTGACTGACAATCTTAACCAGGGCTTATTTTTAGGGTATATTATGAGCATCCTGAAAAAATCATTTTCTGGTTGGGTCTTATTTTTTTAGAGGAAACCCAGTATGTACGCACCTGCTCCAGTGGGTAATATGGCAATATTTTTTTCCCATGCTGGTGTAACTGGATAGTCACTCAAGTAAGTCGAGGACTACCTACACCTCCGACGAGTCTATCAATCTCTTCCCCCCACCCTACTGAGCGTATTGATATCCCATCACCCCAGGAACCTTCTATCAATATCTTCCCCCCTCCCCAAATTTTAAAATCGATTATTTACGGGGCCTTTTTGCAGCCTTTTTGGACAATCCTACCCGTCATCGATTCTCCTAGGAACCTAAACCAGGAAAAAAAGGAAATAAAGCAGAATTGTCTTTTTTCCCCACCTTTAAATCATCAGCCTTGGGAAATGGAAAAAAAAGGGCTGGTTGATCTCCCCCTTTATCCCGACTCAGGAACTGCTGCTAGCCAACCTCTCCTTAACGTTTGAAGCCAAAACTAAGTCAGAGCCTCTGAGTCTTGTATTTGGGGTGGAACCTCCTTGGATATTTATTTTTATGTTCCTCCGTCTTCCCAGGAGGAACAGAAACAGATTGAGAGAGAGAGTTTCTCTCCCTAGATTCTCCTTTGCTGTCCTTTGCTTGACACCTTTGGTGGAAGTTTGGCAGGAACAAGTAATTTAAGGATTGATGTAACTTAATCATTTACACCGGTGTGCACGTCTACCCGCAAAAGCTTATTTCATTTTTTCTTTTTGTCCTCGTCTGAAAGAGAAGAGCTTGGTTCTACATTGCTTAAAAGGACATAGAATCCTAAGGCTATACGGGACCTTGGAGGTCTTCTAGTCTAACCCCCTTCCTCAAGATTGATTTGTACCCATCTCAGTCCAATGGCTTCCCAGTCTATTTTTGCAGACCTCCAACAATGGAGCAAGCGATTCCCTTGATTAATTATTCTCACGATCAGAAAATTTCTCCTTAGTTTTTTTTCCCTCTCTCTCTCTCTCTCCTTTGTAACTCATTTGATTCTTATCCTGCCCTCTGGTGCTTTGGAGGAGAAGAGAAGGACCAAAGAGAGAAGCAATCTGGCATTAAGGGGAAGCTTCCTAAACAGCGAGAACAATTAACCAGTGGAACAGCTTGCCACCAGAAGTTGTGGGGGCTCCGTCATGGAGGCTTTTAAGGAAGAGACTGAAATGCCTGTCTGAAATGGTTTGGGGGGTGGGTGGGCTAGAAGACTTTGAGGGTCCCTTTCAGCTCTAATTCTGATTGATTAAGCCGAATCTATCTTGGCGGAAGGGATTTCAAGATCTCAGCAAGATCGGCTTGCGATCCTGGCGGGGGGTTTGGTGACGCGGGGAAAAATTTGAGAGCGTAGCTGATTTATGCAAAGGGTGTGGCATCCTTCTTTGATCCCTTCTGTCCAACATGGGCTAACAACCCGGGTGTGAAAGTAATAAGTCAATAGAAAAAGATGTGCCATACATTCCTTGTTTTGTGTTAGTTTGCTGAGTAAAAGCTTTCCTTGAAATAAGGAAGCTAATTCGTGTCTGGGCAGAATATATATTTTTTATTTCCTTAGTTCCGAGGCCATTAAGCCTTGTGTGGGCTGAGGAATACCTACCACAGAACGGATTCTCTTTTTAAGTCTTTTCCCCAATGCCTGATGCGTAAAACCTTTCTGGTATATTCGAACTGATCATTAATATATATATATAATTTTTTTAAATTCAGGCGTGGCCTGATGGTGAAATCTAAGGGCTTTTATAGAAAGCAACGGTGTGGGTGTGGGTGGTTTCCTTCTTGATAAAAGGGAAACAATTGCTTCGTATATTCAGAATAGGATTTTAGTGGTGTGAAATAGAAGCAGAATTCTATCCGGTGTGGATTAGAACCCCTTTTGGATAATCAGGTCTTTGCTTAATTCCTCTTACTTTCAGCTAGAGAAAGCTACGAAAATGGGCAGGGTTGCTTTCAAACATGTCTTCTTCTAGGTAGGGTTGTTTAAGGGCATGCTTTATCTCCAGGTGTGTGGTGACATCATCACTATCTTGTCCGGGGTCTGACAGTGCAGAAGCCACTCCTGAGCAGGGATGTCTTTGGCTTCTCTTCACCCCGAGGCCGGCTTCCGAGTGGTAGCACCTAGCCAACCTTGCTTGATCTCAAAAAAGGCCCTATTTGGATGAGAGATTTCCCAGGAAATTCCAAGGTTAGGAATTGAGGACACCCTCTTCCCAGCAGGTCCCAGATCCCCTGCAAACCTGGTTGCTCTGCTAAAGCCATTGTGTGAACTTGGTGCAGCCACCGAAGTCCTATGTGCTTTCGACCCTTGGAGTTCACCATCTCCATGAGCAAAGGTCAGATGCCTCTTCTGATCTCCAGGGAGAACTTCAACGACTTGGTCCCAGCCTCTTCCATCGCTTGGGGAGGTCGGGTTTTATCTGACCTAGTTGCCTTAGAAGCAATCCACTAACTGAGGTGGGAATGAAGCCATTGCTCTCCACTTCTGGTCCTGAGCAAAGATCTTCTAGTAAAAAGCTTCTTCAGCTCAGTTAGACAACTGGACTTTCCTGGCGCAGAATCTCATTAGCTCTCTAAATCCTGGGCTGTCAGAGAAGAGGAGGCAGAGCTAGGAGGGCAGAGTTAAACATGTCATCAGCTTAGAATCATTGACGTTGCAACAAACCATCCAACCCCTCTTGAATTGTTGACCCTTATCTGGCACCAATTTAGCGTTGGACTTTACTTGACTATATTCTTGTGTACTGACTTGAATAAATCTTCTATGCTGCATCCTAACAGAAGATTCTGATTCTTGGGGCCGGACATGAATCTAGTCAACTGAAATTCAGCACTAAATTGGTGCTAGGTAAGGATCAGTGGAATCCACAAGGAGCTGGAC